CACCATGTGCCTAGTTGGTTTCTCACGGTTACGGAATTTGTGCTATATGATATCCAAGTTTGATAGACGTTAACTTACACACAATGTCTTATTGTTTATTTAGGTATTTTTCGCGATCACGGTTTGATTTGTTATACTGCTGAGGGCAGATCGCGACGACACAAAACTCCAATAATAGTTTAGTGTGTCCTTCGATGGTTAAGTATTAGGTGATGCCCCAGCGATACTATCGATAGTGCCAGGGGAGGGGGGATTAGGGATATTATTTGCCAGAGACGCCGATCTTGATGGTTGTTTTGGGGGCTAGCGTATTGTTCTCATTATCCCTTTGCGTGATGCTATAGACAGCATTAGCCATAATTTCTGCTTCTCTTTGGCATAACACGCATAGCTTTATATTCAATAAGAAGTTGTCAGCTGCTGAGGAGTTTTTAAAAGTAATTTCGTACAGGCTTTTGCCTGTTACCTGAATAAACTCAATGTCCTTGTATATCAGGTGTTTTATATTATGAAAAAGTGTTTATCCGTTTTCTACTCTGACCTTGTTAAAATCGCTGCATTGCGACGTGTCTACAAGAACTATGAAGATACCTGAGACATTAGATGTTTGCGTAAGGGTGTAAGTTGCTTTTTGAAGATACTGTACTGACATTTTATATTCGCCAATAGACGCAGTTAGCGGTTCTTGGGTGCCCGTTGAACTATCGTAAGCTGCGGCCACATGCCATTGTTACATATATCCTCGCACATAACCTGAATTTTCCCCATTAGACCTTCACTGAACAAACCTTGATAGTTTTTGCCTTTTAAAAGTTCAACAATGTTGTCTTGAGTGTCATTCTTGACAACACAGAAATCGAAAAAATTTATTTATGATGACTTTTACAATCATGCACAGTATATTTCACTTACGTTTTTTTTATAAAATTTTATTATTTAAACCCAGGAAAATAACAATCGAAACGTTCTCCGTCAACAAATTTGCAACTTAGAAAGATAGATATAGGCCCCTATTATGAGTTGCATTCGATTTTCGACTGTGGTTGAAAGCTGAGAAGCTTTGTTTACAATCGAGCAAACTAAATAGTGTGCTTATACATATTTATGTAAATTTGTTCTAATTAAAATGAAGTAAAAAAGAAAGCAAGTTTATAAAAACGTGGTAAAATGATGAGTACGAGTTCTGGTTCAACGATTCGTCAGAGTATGAGAGCTTAGTAAACTGGCCAGGAGTAGCTAATGTTTAAGAGAGTTTAAGTTTATTAGTCTTTCGAATGTATTTTGATATAAAATATATTTAAAAAATTTGTCTACAGATTCATTAAAAAGTTCCGACCATCTAAAGAGGCGTTTGTGAGCCAAATCTATTTAAAATATTTTAAAACTATCAACAGCGCTACGATTTTGTTTTCAGAGATCGTACCAACAGAGTATTGGGATTTTCTTTCACAAGTAAAACCAGCCTGTTAGAACTGCATGCAATTAATAAAAATTGTTTAAAATTAGTGTCTAGCCGCCAAAATGTAAGAAAACATACAGTTGTCCACAAAATAATAGGAGTGGGATATTTTAACCTGTTTTGGCTATTTGTCTTTAGTTTATTTAATGTTTCGTATTTTTTTGTAAAAGCCTAGCTGGTAATACAACAAACACCATATAAATTTACATTTTCAAGTTTGTACAAAAATTATAAAAATTCTGCAAATTTTACGTGTGTCAAGTTAGCACTACACTTTTCGAAATTGGAAAAGTTAGCTACGGCATTAATTGTAGTGTTTTTGTTGTAAATTTGTTGTGGAAAGAAAAAATTTGTAGCTCTCGTTTTTT